ATATGAATATTCGAATGGCTTTTGCTTATAACTTACAATTCTTTTTTTCACAATTTACTGATACTGTAAAAGAGTTTTGCATACAAGACATGAAGTTGGATACTCTTTTCAGCGAATCTGAGTCTTTAAAAGTTTTTGCGTATTTGAAGAAATTAGTTTCAGCAATGAGGAAATATGGATGAAGTCCTTAAATAGTGGTACTTTTCCACAGTTTGAAATAATCGTACCTATTACAGTATCCGACGGATGTCATAACAAGCGAGTGTGAAGGATTAGATTCTTGCGACTGACAGCCATGGGATATATGCCTATTCCGGTCCGTAGGATGTCATTCGCCTGAATCTAATCCTTCAAACTCGCTTGTTATGACAGTGCGAATCGGACTAGATCCGTGCGAACGACAAACTAAAACGAAGCAACTGAGAGTATTAAGTTTGCTTCCTGGCGCAAAGAGAGAAACCTAAAACACTGAAGATGGAAATGATCTCATTATTGCTATTCAAAAATGTAAATTTCACGACAGCGATTTAAGTGAAAAATGATTTTAGTTTTTTTTATTTTTATATGGAAATTGACAGCAAATAAAAAATCATTTTCCATTTAAATTTTTGGTGAAACCGGCTGTTACATTCATAATTTCGCTTTGAATAAAAATGTACTGAAAAGTACTGATTTTTTAGCATTAAAAAGTCTAACGTACTGATTTCGCGCATAAAAAATCTGGCAACCCTAGATTTTTATTAATATATACATATATCTTGCCGTTGTAGAATCGGAGGGGTATGTTTCGGGAGATTGATTGCCAAGGTAATGGGGAAGAGTTCTTTAGGAACATGCAGCGCAGTAGCTTCAACAAACTATGCGGTCTTCTTTCATGTTTGGAAAAGAAAGATACAAATTTTCGGAAAGCCATTAGCCTTGAGAAGCGGGTAGCCATTGCTCTGTATGCCCTGGGATCGTGTTCTGAGTACCGAAGTGTGGGTAATATGTTCGGAATTGGAAAATCGACTGTATGCTTAATCGTGTTAGAGTTTTGCAAGCAAGCATGGATTGTATTACATCCTATTTACCTTAATCACTTCCCTCTCAGTAGAGAAAAGATACGAGAGTGTATGTCTGGGTTCAACCGAATTGGGTTTCCTCAATGCATTTGTGCAATTGTTATGTTTTTATGTTTTAACGCGTACATACATTTGTACAATTCACTCAATTAATTTTTTCTCATTTAATTTTCTAAGAAGCCACCGATTACTTTAATTACAAAGGGTGGTATTCCACCGTGCTTTTGGCTTTAGTTGACTCCGGGTAAATTTGTCTTCCTTTGGACTATATATGTATGTATATTTGTAACATAAATAAAATTAACCCTCTTTTGTAGATATCGTTTTCTTTACATTAATGTTGGTAGTCCAGGAAAATTTAACGACTCATACATTTACGAAAGGTTATTATTTAAGAAAGAGCTGCATAACTGTACTTTGCTTAATGAAATGAGTATTCAATTAGAGTCAGTAAACATTCCGGTGTTAATACTAGGAGATTCTGCATTTCGTTTATCGCAAAACTTAATGAAACCTTTTCCGTTTAATCTCAACCATACCTCTGCACAAAAAAAAATTCAACTATCAAATCTATCTGTCTAAATGTTGCAGGGTAGTAGAAAATGCGTTTGGTCATTTAAAAGCACGGTAATGGGCTTACAATTAACTTCGGTTGAATACTGAACTTTTTTATATATATGTGTATACATATACCTATGTATAATTTGTGTTTGTAGATTCCGCAAGATTGGTAAAGGAATTGATAATAACATCCGAAATGCGAATGCAGTGATAAAGGCATGCTGCGTTTTACACAACTTTTTAATTGAGGAGAAAGATGGCATGCCTAGAATTTGGTTAAGCGAATTAAAAAATATCGACCGAAATAGAAATTATCCAAATCGCTCAACAAATTTGATGCACAACAGGCATGAAGCCGAATATATAAGAAATGCTCTCAGTATACTTTTCTGTAAGTATGGGTGCATTCTAAATCGTAAAATTACAAAGCAACAACTATACCTAAGCCCCAATACCCCAGCAAACACAGTCTCTAAGGCTGGCGCCATATTTCCATTTTATATTAGAATTCTAATGTAGTTCTTGAATCGAAAATCCCATAAAATTTAAAAACAAGTTGTACATTAATAAATTAGTTCCAGTGTTTATTAAAAATAAACATTATTAAAAAACATAAAAATATAATTCCTAAATTTTGTGCAAAACTCGCAAAAATTCAGCAAATTTTCATCCAAATTTTCAACTTGTTGGTCATATTTTTTGAATTTTTTGAGTATGCATATTTTTGGCCGACCAATTTTATTATAATAAAGTACAAGTTTTAAAAAGCTAGGAATTACAGTTGATTTTTGACAATTTTTTTACGCAGGGTCTTCCATATAAAAGAATTTTTTCGAAAATACTCTATATGGGAAAAATGCAAAACGCCTTCAACAAAAAAAAGGTGTCAATGCGCATTTTGACTAACTTGGAACTTGCATTCTTTTACTAGAATTTAATGGGCTGCAAAACTGCATACTCAAAAAAATTCTACAAAATTTGATTAAAAAGTTGAAAATTTGGATGAAAATTTGTTGAATTTTCGCGAGTTTTGCACAAAGTTTAGGAATTATATTTTCATGTTTTTTTGTTGTAGAATGGAAAACATTTATACAAAAACTTGGTGTAAATATATTAGAAAAAAATTGTTTCCATATATTGTGAAAGATTTGCTGTGCCAATACTTTTTGCCGGCAGTGTAAGTTAATTTAATCGGCTTAAAAAGTCCAGAACGCCTTCCGTTAATTTTTTATTATTGTCGCGCATCTTTTTTAACACCTCTAACTTCTCCTTTTCGACCTTCGTTATTTCTTCCCCCATTTTTATATTCTCGGCAGCTGCTTCTTTGTAGCATTTGCTGAATTCGTCATACATTTGCATTAATTTTTCTATATTTGTCTTCTTTGCAGAGCGCGCATTTGAGTACGTTGGAAGTTCCACCGACGACGGCGGGGGTGACAGCAACTCAGTGATCGACGACGAAGGTGACGGCAACGCAGTAGTCGACGGCGAAGGTGACGGCAGTGACACAACCAACGGAGCTAGCATTTCTGGAGAATTGCCTGAAACATTGTAACAAAAGCCACATAAATAAAATAAAACATATGACAAATTAATGCAAATATATGTACATTAGCGTGGGCCGA